AGTTTACTTAATATAATTTTTTATAAAATTAAATATAAAAAAATTTTATCATTAAGTTTATATATAATTTCAATATAGTACCCTCTACCCTTAAACTAACAATGTTTTCTTATAAAATAATGATCAGACAAACTCTCCAGACACAATATTATGCTTGATGTAGTAAATTGACACTATGCTTAGTTTTACCTAACTGGTGCAAGCAGGTTGCTTGTAAGTGCTCATAAAAGTAACTGCGGGATGTCAAGTAGATGGACTGCGTATGTACCGGCGAGACTGCCGAAGTGTAAAAAAAAAAAATTATCAAATTTAAGTATTTAATTAATATTATTTAGTAATTATAAGATTATGTTTAGTTTAACTTCGTGATGATATAATAGTAGAACGAATAAATATCACCTTTTACTGAGTCTAAATAATTTAATAAGGTGATCCCTATATATCTACAGTACAATAATAACATCTCTAATGTTGAATTTGTAATTCTAATCTTAAACGTATAAAAAATATTTCTTAATCTAGGAATTTCAATAAATAATACTAGACAATTATTACAATAATAATTGGTATTGTATTATTATCACATTATAGCATCATACAATTCTATGAATATAAAAGAATGATTTTATCAATCAACAGTAAAGACTGAATGAAAATAAATTAGATATTTATTCTACAACCGAGTTATTAAAGGAAATTGCATTATATCCAGTTTATATTCAGTTTATATTCAGTGATGATATCATTGTGGTATTGCTAGATGGATTTAATTAGAAACTGTAAATGGATGTGTCGAAAGTTCATTTGCTGTTGGTCGATCGTTATGATTCCTATTAAAGATAGACACCTCGTTATATAATTAACACAAAACTACGAATTTAATATTAAAAGTCTACTAATAACGTACGGTTCAAATGTCTTTTTCAAGAAATCTTTTGCTTCATCAGATATATTTTCCGGAATTTCTGGTGCACATGATTGCGTACCAATCTATATTTATCAAGGTTAGCTAAATTTTATCATAAATTTGTAATATGTTATAGAATCTAATAATAAATTAACCTTAAACATTGCCTGCATTTGATTAAACTCTGGGAAGGGATGATTTCTTGTAAACATTTCAACAATTAGACACCCTAAACTCCATATATCAGCTTTACTTGTATAAGCTGTCTGTTTTATAACTTCTGGTGCCATCCAAAAAATAGATCCTTGTAACGATGGTCGATGCACTGATATTGATGCCCTGATCTCTGTTATAAAAATTAAGCAAAATGAATCTAAAATTTGAAAGTATTCAAAATCGAAATCATCAAGTTCTCACTTACGGTCTTCTACTTTTTTGGATATTCCAAAATCTGATATTTTTATTCTTCCTTTGTTATCCACTTTTGCCAATTTGTTACATAATAGATAATATAATTTTAGTAGATTCCTAATTCAGAGAATTTATAATTTATAATCTAGAAAATTTACCTAAAATATTAGCCCCTTTAATATCACGATGTATGATGTCCTTTCCATGCAAATATTTTAACCCTTCTAAAATTTGTCGGACAAATGACCTAACTAAAGGTTCTTCCAATGCGCCATAGTTATTAAGCATTGTTGTAACGGATCCCCCAGGTACATATTCCAAAAAAATATTTAATGTTTCATCATCGTCTTGAGATCCTGGCAATAAGATAAATAAAAAAATCAATGTAATGGTTTATTTTCACAATTTATTAAAAAAAATAAATCAATAAATATATATATATATATATATATAAACATACCAAGATATTGAACGATATTTTCATGTTGCAGTTCTTTCAAAAGCACAATTTCTCTTTGTAAAGCATTCACCTACGTGAAAAAGTTCATTAGATAACAAATGCATGCAACAATCATATAAACATAATAAGAATAAAAGGTTTTATGCTAACCATGGATTTTTTACGCTCTTCATTTGCAGAATTTCCAGTAGGCAACTCCACTTGCTTAACTGCCATCAATTCTCCAGTAGCTGCATTAAGTCCAAGATATACGCTACCAAAGGAGCCCTTACCTATCAAATCGCCTTTCATCCACCTAATATTTGAATTTTCTATACAAATTGTATATATTATTTTACGATTAAGTGTTTATTAAAATGTAAACTCTACATAAATTTTTAAAAAAGTCGGTCACATATATATTTCATTTACCATCTTCTTCTTCCTCTTCTTCTTCTTCTTCTTCTTCTTCGAGGATTAGATCTTCAAAACTATCATGCCCAAAAGAATCATCTTTCTCTGGCTCCTCTTCTGGAATAGTTATTTCAAAATGTTCTAAACTCATTGGAGAGCTCAATATTGTACTCATTCTATTGACATCTTCGAATGCTCTAGATATACGTCTAGATCTTGTTCTTGAAGTCCTAGAAGCAGAAGACATTCTTCTTGAAGTCCTTATCATAGATTTCCTGGCACTACGTTCAAGATCTTCAGTGGTATGACCAGGGAAATAGTCTGTCAAATTTGATGAAATTAATTCAGATGGTGGACGTACGCCAAAGAAATTTCTTAATTTCCTATGTGATATTCCAGCTATTCCGGTTGGCTGTGCGCGTGGTGGTTGTTCACCAAAGAAATTTTCTAATTTTTTACTTCTCATTTGTTCCTTTTTTTGCTCGTGGCTCATTGGTAGATGTTTCTTTCGTAGGGTAAGTCTTTCACGCTCTGGTCTATTGACGCTTGTACAAATATCGACTATCTCCTCATCAGACAAACTTCGTGCTAACATATCAAATTAATTGCATTGAATTAAATCATCGCTCAAACTAAAATATGCGACAAAATAAAAAAAGTAACAACTCACGTGCACCATCGCTTAACGTAGCAAATAATGAATATTTTTCAGCATCCTCATTAATATTAAACTTTTGTAAAATACGTGCCAAAATAGATTTAGCGTCTGTGATGTTGTTTATAGGGATAGTCCGTGTTTGACCTTCTTCACCATAAACTTTAATACATCGCTGCAATAACAACCAGTAATTTAGATCATAATAAATATGTAACTAAGGAAATATTATAGCAAATACCTGCATAACACTCTCAAGAGACATAGGAAACTCTACCTAAAAACATAAATAGGAATATGAAAATTATTATGAATTTTATTGTAACCATATACATCCTTCTACTAGATATAGAAATAAAAAAAATTTATATGAACTTTAATATGTGCGGGTGGTTTATAATCCTTATTTCCACGGTTCGTAGAATTCGATCTCATGACCATTCGTGAATTTGAATTGGATCTTGCAAGTACACGTGAATTCGAATTGGATCTTGAAAGTGTACTTTTGATCTTTTCGTTTTCGGGTGAATTTGTATCCTGAATGATAATCAATAAAGTTATTGTTCATAATAATATACATCCATTGGAGCTTTATAAATTTGATATCACCAACCTTAGGATATTTAATCGTAGAACAATTGTTTCCGGCACAAATTTTTAACAAATTTCTTACTGCTGCTATGAGCCTAATACGATCGCCGATTGATCTAATTTTTAGCTCTCTAAGAACTTCATGATCTAATTCTAAGAGTACATCCCCATTAATATCATTTTCTAATATAAGACATAGATATAAATAATCTTTTAGTATTTTACCCTGAATTACAATTTACAAATTAAATATATTAAAATTTAAAAATCAATACCGGCAAAAAGCTTTTGATGCTCTTTAAAATTATTTTCTTGGAGCCAAATTGCAACTTGTTCAATGCCCCAACGTCTAACACTTTCAAAGGTGATACCATCAATGGCTTTGGCCGAAGAAGCAGGCTCAACAGCACCATTTGAATTTTGAAAAATTTGCGCCATGTAACTTAAATACAAAAGAATGTGATATCCTTTTGAGGATTGTAATTTGAATTTAGAGTGTTAAAAGTTTAAGTTTATTGCTTTTGTGAATGCATGATTATATTACAAGAATTTCTCACGGGCATGTAGATCACATAAAAGGACTTTCGTATGATTGGCTAATGTAAGAATATCGTTTATATGCAATATGCAGATCAAATTATATTGAATTACCATAAATGTATGTCAATCAAAAAGCAACGATAATAATTTGGGTGGTTATTGTCTGAGTATATAAATAGAAAATCTTGTGGATAAATTGGTGACGATAATCTAAATTTTTTCTCGCTGTTAATCTGTGCATACCTGATATTTTTCCGACAAACACTTTCACAAAAATTGATCGAAATTAACATTAGCCCAAAATTAATGCGGGCTAACTTGTCGGGATATTGTCGAGAAAGTGGTAATCTGGTAATATTACTATAGGCTTGATATGCCAGAGTGGTGACGTAAGAATTCTGTGTCAGATTTTATCAATCACGAGATATAGAATATATTTTCTTTTTTTTTTTTTTTTAATATTATATTAATTTATTAATTAAATAGATTGATATATTTAAATTGAGTTATGCAATTCTGAATTGACTTTATTTTTTTTTTTTTCAGTATTAAGGTGACCTCTTTGGTCTGAGCTTTTTATTAATACTTATAGCAGGTACATGTTT